CCCCCTCCCCCCCCCCCCCCCATGTCTAGAATCCAACATGTTTAAGCCACAAAGTAGATACAGAACAAAAGGCTCAGGGTAAGAGGCAAGGCCTCAAGTACTCACAAAACCCAGACAGCTGGTAGCAGGTGATGTTAAGTTACTGGAGGGTAGGATGGCAGGGGCTGACCAAAGTTGGGCAGTAGGAATTAAAGGTTCATGTCGCTCTAAGCAACAGGAGCAGCAGTATGGAGATGCTTCCTCAGAGCTGTATGGCAGGAAAGAGAGCACACAGCAGGCTCAAGCGACACTCCACCCAGCAGATGACATTAGCAGTCCCATGTGGTTAACCCCATCAATGGAAAAGCCAGCAGAAAAAGGGGAATACTGTCAGCGACCAAATGAAAACGAGGGAGCTCCCACTGCTCAACTTGACCAGCCTATGCACTTGCTAGACAACAAAACACAAAAGGCAATGCCAGCGAATCTGGACCTGGACAGCACTCCACAGCTAACCTAACCAGAACTCAATACAGAGTCTGGAACAAGCTCCACGCAGAACCAAGTGCAGAAAGTCACTTCCAGTCTAGTCCCAAAACATCCAATCCAGCAAGGTTAGGATGCGGTAAAGTCCAACAGCTAAGAATTATATATGAGATAGCAGCTAATCAGAGGGGAAACCTCCAACGGTGAAGAAGGGTCTTGGCTAAAGAAAAAATTGTAAAAGAGCAAAATATTGCTAGAAAAACAAAGTTTGTCTACAGACTAAAGAAAAAATACCCATCCCCCTAGGAGACTAACAAAACACTGAGCCATGCTGATAGTGGGAGGGGTTATAACTTAGGCTGGCCTGCAGTTTTTGTTTCCTATAGGTGGCATCATAATCCAAAGTTTAAGACTTGCTGTGTCCCTGAATGGACAAGAAAGAAAGCTTTTTATGAACAGTTGCCATTTGGTGTCTTGTTTGGAAGAAGGCTTACTGTTTCTACAACCAATAACTGTTTCCAGCAGACCAAGAATAATGTGAAGGTGATATTTATTTATTCAAATTACAATAAACATTATAGTCAGCAAAGCACTGCTGCTTGATTTACTTGAGGTGAATGTGTGACTGTTGCTTTGCCGATGGGAAAACCCAATTAATTCTTCATACCATATGAGGGTAGTTGTGTGCACCTATATGATGTACTTACTGTGTAAGCATGGTAATTCCTTGACCCTCTATGTGACAAAGGTGGGATCAGGAGAATCCCATCCTTATTACTAGTGGTGGTATGTTCCTTCTATGTTCTTTAAAGAAAACCTAAGCATAAACCTTGGCAATTTCAAAGAGATCCAAAAATAAAGACAGCAGAATTTATATGCACATTTGACTTCTGTAAAGTATAAGCTTTGCCTCACTTCTTATATTAGCACTTTGATAGCTGATCTCACCGAGATCTCAAGAGAACCTGGAAAGTCTTTTACAGGAAAATAAGTTATTTGCATATAACTTCAGCAGGCTTCATCTCTGTATATATTGAAAGTTTTGACAAGAAGTTTTCATTGAAGGGCATTTTTTTTATTATGTTGTCAATTTGTTTTGCCCATGTTTGCGATGGGATTCCTTGAAACTTGCATGCAATATTGATAAAAGAAATATGATGCAGGTCAGATAACTTCTCATTAGCTGACACTGTTGACAATAAGATCAGTAATAGATTGCTGGTTACTCTTCCTGGTGCCATTACCCATCTGAACCTTGATAAAAGTACCCTGTGTGGCCCTATAACACATGCACTTCTTTGCTGATGGCTTTCCTGATTCTGATGAAAATATAAAATAACTTTCACATTATTTTCTGCTACTGACAATTGTTTTATGGATTTGATGAATACCAGCACCATCTGTCTGTGTAATTGTCATGAATAGAAATTAATCTTTTGTGTCACCAATAGGTGGCAAAGGGATCTCATCAGGCTCTGGTACAGTCTGCTCTTCTCGGATGGTGATGTTGCACTGCAAATTGACACTGGAATGCAACACTTGGGACTGCCCAGCAGAGAGGTGAAATCAAAGAACAAGCAGGTAAGGGCAGACAGAAAGCAGAAAGTAGAAAATGAAAACAGTCCAAATCATCACCACAAGCAACTGAAGCAGATAACTAGTCAAGTTAAATACTAGTCAGAAAGGCATAAACAGGAAAACAGGTCAGGGACAGACCTTTAAATCCGGCACTTCAGCATCCATATGTGCAACTGCAGCATGACAACACCACAAAGCCGATTATCTGACAACTGATAGCGCTGGCCAAGACAGGAGCTTTAGGAGGACTACAAGAGGTAGACCGCTGCAGGATGATCATTATACTAGCATGGTCCACACTACAAGGTGTGCAGCTCAAACAACCAGTTCATACAACTTGTAATTGCATAAAAGCATAATCATATAGACCCACAAATGACAATCTAATACCCGCCTCTGTGGCCAAAAGACAGTTGTGTTACACGGAGATACACAAAAACTCTCCATTGGAGTTCAAGTTGAAGTTTGTATCCTGAGGGAGCCTAGGTTCGCAGCAAACTGGAGATGCTTTGCAGGCACCTTGTGAGATCTGCTCTTTAAGATACATTATATTTATAAAGCAGTTTTTATGACAGGTTACTAAAACAAAATGGGGGGAATTTATCAAAGCAATTGCAACAGTTTTAGCATCTTAGATAAAAACATGTGCTCCTGTTTTGACCTGAGCTTGCACTACTTTTCCAACTGCACGTGTTTTGCACCTGTTTTGATCTGCCCTTGTTATGCGGCTGTCTGAAACTGGAGCATCACCTAACAAAATAATCGCAACTTAAGAAGTCCCCATGACCACTTCTTCAAGAAGCGACAGCTCAGCTTTTTGCCTGAAGTTAGGAGTCTTTTTTTCCTGGAGTCTATTTAACCTAATTTATGAACAACATTACACTAGCATCATAAATCCAGTGCAAAGTGCGTCAAATCTATTCCGTGCAAGTTCAAACACTCGCAATTGTTGTGATAAATTACCCTCAGTATGATTTCAATAGTCCATTGAAGAACATCTTACTTTATTTCTTTTTCAATCTGCTGCTGCTCTCTGTTCAGCCTTCCAAGCCCTTGCTTTGCAGCTTTCAGTTCAGATTCAGTGTCAGCAAGTTGGTCTTTGCGACTGTTGGTTTCCACATGTTTTTCATTTAAGTCTCCTAATAAATTCTCCAATTTATTTTCGTTGTAAAAAAGTTGAAAAAGCTGGAGTTGCATTTTACTTTTAAGAAGTTCCTGGCGAAGCCTTTTATAACGATCAGCCTACATTTTCAAAAAGAAAAATATATATATCTATACGGAGGAGGGTGAGATAAAAAGAGAGAGCAACGGTGCCATTTTTTATCCCTGTTGGGTCTTTAAGTTTTCCTGGACACCTTTCTGTACCAATTGGAATGCAAACATTTGAAAAAGACCCCATCTAACAATGGCGAAACCCATTTAAAGCTTCAGCTATCTGATCTTATGGTTATATTGGGGAGGGGTGGGGGGGGGATGTGGCTGGCTGACTATGTAGCCAGGCACTCGCTGCCAAGTTCATGCTGTCTATCCTAAATTACAGTCTGCTGCTACAGACTCAACCTTGGGCTCACTCACACATTGGATCTTTCCCTCCTGCCTGCTTGTGACTTCCTTTCCCTACAGTCGGCATGGATGACGAAAAGAAAAAACCCAAAGGAGATGCTACAGCCAAGGACCATGCGGCCCAAAATGGCGCTGGCTCCCACACTACCTGTAGTTAAGCTGGTACAGCTAAACTGGTGCATTTTACCCACATTCCTGCAAAGTAGGGTGCAGGCTAACATGTAGGTATACATTCCACTAAGTGCTCAGAACATGCAAAAGGGGATTCTGCCCATACATCACTGATGCAGATAAAATGGGATGATGGGGACATGAGGCCTACTACTGGGAAATCAAATGGCACTGCTTTTTCCCATTGCCAGGCTGATAACGCTTCCCAGGTTGAGCCTACCTTATCAGAAGTACCATGGGCAGTCAATAAAGGAAATTCTTCAATCACTATACTTATAAAACCCAGATATGGAGCCTTAAGAACTCCGGGATCATTTTTTATTAACTCTTGCAATGGGGCTACCCCCACACTGCAAGGGTTAAGTACTCGTTTTTGTCTAGGGAGGAAAACAACAAAGATATGCTCACCCGATCCTCAGAACCAGCCGGCTGTGGCAGCTCTCCCTCCTGCCTGTCCCCTCCTACGCTGCTAATTTTTGTAAAAGGGCTGTGCAAACTGTTGGCACTATAAAAATCCCGTATAATAATAATAATATACCTCTGAAAGAACATGTAGCCCTGCTCAGATCTATGACAAATGCAGATGACAAGAAAAGGGCAATATTAGGTGTCTGGATTTAGCTTTAAATGAACCTTTCAAGGTCTAATTTGAAGCTAAATTAACAATACTGAAAGTGCAGCCAGTCACCTTCAATCTTGAAATGAATTATTTTCAGTGCCCTAACAAGCCTTTTAAATCATAGGCTCAGACTGTATTCTGGGCATAGAGAACTACACCAGAAGCCACCAAGCACCATTCTCTAAAGACCCTGCCCCTCCTCCAGTCATCAAAACAATATGGTGCCAAAACCATAGGTCCACTTCAATGATGGCCAGACAATGCCTAATAAAACACAAATTGTGTAAAGTAAAAGAGAAAGCACTAAACACTCCAGATATGATTCTTTGTCACAATAAAATATTTTTAATAGCACTCAATGTGTTTGGGGAGTTATACAGATATTCCTCTTCATTAGGGCTAACATTTAAAGTGACACTAAACCCAGGAGTTTAACCACTTGCTGACCGGGGTGTTTATACCCCCTTCCTGGCCAGGCCATTTTTCAGTGTTCAGCGCTGCGGTATTTTGACTGACATTTATTCCGTCATGCAACACTGTACTGAAATGAATTTTATACCATTTTTGGGGACAGATAGAGCTTTCTTTTGGTGGTATTTAATCACCACTGGGGTTTTAATTTTTTTACTATATAATGAAAAAAGTACCGGGAAAAAAATAAAATAAAAAACTGTTCTCCCTACGTTATGTTATAAAACATTTATTATTACCCAAATTTGTGGTAAAATATAAAGGACTGGATCACGTCGGGTAAATAGACACCAAACATGTCAAGCTTTAAAATTGTGAGCAACAGTGAAATCGCAAAAAAAACTACCATACCCAAAATTGGCCATAGGCGACGCTTTTACCGCTCATCAGTTTAGTGTTATCAGTGATTGATGGCCCTAGAATTATTGCTCTCACTGCGACGTTCGCGGCGATATGTAACATGTGCGGCGCAATTGATGCAATCATAGTTTCCGCACGTAGGCGCACTCAACGCATGTTTGCATGTGTATGTGGGGGCCGGGGACTTAAATTTTTTTTGCTTTTATATGTGACTTTACATTTTTTATAAACCTTTTTTTTCGCTTAATTTTATTGCTTTCACATAGGGGACTAACAAGAGATGATTTGAGGATCTACAGCCGAGTGATACACAAATAAGATACATTTTTGTTAATAGTTAAAAGGTACTTGATTGCATTTTTAAGATTTAACTTGAGTTTAGTGTCACTTTAACAAGGCAAGACATTTTAGCCTTGATTATGAGGGACTTACGTATAAGTCCAGAAACACACTGGTTACTATTCTTCCTAAAAATCTTTCATTGTGACAAATAATCCCATTTAGCATTATCTATGGTTTAGCACTCTATCTAGCACTTATCTTACACAAGTTGTCTATCCTGAGGATCCTGCCAAAGGCTGTTGGCGAGTTAGCCAATACCAACATTGCTTGTGAAAACACGACCATGAATGGATTGAAAACAGGCCAACATGAAAATGTCTCCATTAGCTCTTCACTTCATTTCAGAAGAAAATAGGACGTTTCCTATTATAATGACATCCATTTATTGACCCACTCTGGAGGAAATATACAAGAGGGTCCTGATGCACACGAATGGGTAGATCACACACATCCCCCTTCTTGGAAAGTTTTGTCCATCTATAGCTATACAATCGCTAACAGAGGCATTTCTACGTGCCTGTAGACAGTGGCGGAACTACCAGGGTCGCAGAGGTCGCGACCGGGCCCTGGAGTTCGGCCACTTGGAGGGGGCCCAGGACAGGAGGAAGGGGCCACTGGTGACCGCTGATTACCAGTCCCGGGACCTCTTCCTCCCGTCCTGGGCCCTACATGCTTCACGCTGCTCCCCTCATCTTGTTCCGGGCGCAGCGTGAAGCATCATCCAGCCGGGCAGCAGCCAATGAGAGGGAGCGGTGTAATCCCGCCCCCTCATCACACAGAACTGCCGCCGAATGCCGAGTGCTGCGTACACGAAGGGGGAGACCGAGACAGGGAGCTGGAAGTATCAACGAAGGTGACATGGGATCGCTGGGGACATGAAGGGGGAGATGAAAGAGGACAGTGTTTTTATCTTGGCATGCTTTCTTTCTAATGCCACATTCTTCTTCTTATTATAACAGAACTGTGCATCTTCCTCAGCTTGTAACATGACTTTTTTCTTTCGCTCATACTCTTCTGATAGTTCTGCTGAGTTGCTTATTTTTTCAAAAAGTTGGGTTCTTTCTTTAGGTTTCTTCACTGCAATTGATTCCACCTCACCCTGGTGATACAAAACAGATGAAGCAAATCTCCGCAGCTATAAACAACCTTTGATACTTAATATCGGGTAGAATACATCGTATTACCTGGAATATGAGGCAATTTCTGGCCTTTGAAATTATTCCAATTTTTTCAAGCTCCAGGACATAGGCTGACCGTCCCACTGGTGTATCATTGAGTCGATATTCTGAGGAGCCTCCTGACAAAGATTTGTTAAATGTAAAGCACAAAAAAGACCAATTGTGGAGGTTAGGATATGCAAGCTACTTACTTTCCAAAGCTTGTTTCTTTAATCATTAGAGCAAAGCTCTCATACACGGTTACATTTACAAATAAAGACTTATAAATCGGACACCAGAAGGTGTCTGCGCATACAGTTATAGCTCCCTGCAAGCCCCATTATGCAGATACCTGTTTCAGTAACAACTTATTTTTGGCCCTAAAGGTGCGCATACATTGTACGATTTTCATTCGAAAGGTTTCCTTTCTGCCACAAACCCTCATTCGATTATACCTAGACTTCCCCCCTCAAGCATTGTCAAATGTCGATTTCAGAAATCGTTCATTGGCCTTAATAACCAACCAATTTTTGGCGAATGACGGCAATATTTGTTTGACCTATGCAGAGAAAGTATTTGTTTGACCTACGTAAAGAAACAATCTATTTTACCTATACAGCGACATTATTTGTTTGACCTATGCAGAGAAAGTATTTGTTTGACCTATGCAGAGAAATTATTTGTTTGACCTATGCAGAGAAAGTATTTGTTTGACCTATGCAGAGAAAGTATTTGTTTGACCTATGCAGAGAAAGTATTTGTTTGACCTATGCAGAGAAAGTATTTGTTTGACCTAGGCAGCTTTTTGTTTGACCTAGGCAGCTTTCCTTTTTTTATTTTTCAAAAAAGTAAAAAGGAGTTCTTGAGCTCCAGGACAGTTTGCCATGGCTGAGGCAATGACATTAGTCTGCTGCAGGTAGGAGAAAGCATTTCCTCATTCTCCTCTACCCCAGTGATCAGACTGCAAGATCACAACTTTGTAGTCAGAAATCTATAAAAATATTTTTTTTATGCAAGGGCCACTAATTTTTTATCTACTCTACATAATGGCGAATCCTTACATGACACTGGGGCTGCAACTAATGATTATTTTCGTAATCGATTAGTTGGCCGATTATTTTTCGATTAATCAGATAAAAAAAAAGCTACTATTCTTAATTTAAAATAAAATATACCTATGCAGTGCTATAAACATAAAGTTTAGTTTAGAATAAAACTGCATGCACAATTTGTTGCAATCGCACTGCAGTGAAACGCATGGTATTGCGGTAACATGCGTTCCAGTGCGGGCGATCACACTGTGGGTGGGAGGTGTGTAAGAAACGAATGGCAGTGCAACGCACCTCCCGCAGCAGAATTTGTCAGGCCGAAACCGCAAATAACTTTTTTCTCACCTTTTATCTTTTTAATCATTGTATTGTAAGCACTTGAATAGCTTCAGTCAGGGAATGACAGCTGCCGGTGGCAAGATTCCACAGATAGCAGCTGAATGTAAATACAGCAGGCAGTGGGCTGGTGCAATAGCCAGCCTGCAATTGGCCATTTCAAATTGCAATAGCCAATAGCAGGCTGGCTATTGCACCCGCCCACTGCTTGCTGTGCCCTCCTCCCAGTGTGGAGGAGAGAGCTAGGGGATCCAACCAACTAATCGATAATGACAACTATTCTCATTATCGATTAGTTGGTTGCAGCCCCACATGACACCATCATTTGACTCTATAAAAGCTGGGAGATTTCAGAGTGTAGAATTCTGGTGGAGGTATCTCACAAATGGAGTTCCCAAAAGACACAAGAAGCTAGTTTGTCAGCCAGTTCACCCGATAATACACTCAACTGGAGCATGAGTTTTAGCCAGTAAATTGGGCATTTAGCACATGTTCCTTAGCACATCTAACTTGAAAGATATAAATCAAGCCAAAAGGAAAGTACTTGTTTTGTGCTCCCCTAAAACTGCCTGCACCATCATTGCTCTCCCTATTGTGGAGTTAGAATCTATGTTGAATGCAACCTGAAGACAAAGAGGGTCAGAATGTATTCCTACATTTAACTCTCATGTGCTCAGAGTATGAGAAGAAACTAGAGAAGAAAGTAAATGGTCACACAACACAGAAATGTAAAAAAGAAAAAACACACAAACAACAGGTTGTAAGACATACTCCATTTTATATTACATTTTGCAACCATTAAGGTTTTCATCGAATAGCTGTATTACCAAACGTTTCATTTCTTTTCCACAAACACACCTAGAAGCACATGGAGAAAAAGCAGATAATATTATTTCCTACATTAAGTATTACAGTAATAATGTTTCTTTTCATACCTACAATCCTCCTGGAAAAGGTCTTTTCCTCCCCATTGTCATCACAATAAACCAATTGCACACTGGCAGTAGAGGAGACCGGTCGCCCTACATTAGCTCCACTAATAAGCTCTCGAACACTCTTCACTCTTAAATTAGATGTCTTCTCACCCATCACAAAACTTAGCGCATCCATCAAATTTGATTTTCCTTAAAAAAATATGTATAAAGAACAAATCGTAAGAGACCATAATATCTTTATAGGAAATGTGTCCCCAAGAAACCAGAATTCTACATGCATCAGTAAAGAGGTCCCCGCAAACACCTTTGGGTTCCGTGAATGCGCACTTTTTTTTCTCTGTACATCCCCCCTCTGATTTCAGTAGGTGCTGCACGCGTGACAAATGCAGGAAAGTAGCTCATGTTACAGATTCTGCTACGGGCGTACCGTGTTTTGTCACCACGCATTTGTGTGCATTTAACATGTGTCAATATGAGGGGGGGAAAATGCACATTTGGGTTGCCAATAACAAGTAATGGCACCACAAGCGCACTGCATGTTTTTGAGGCGTTCCGTAAATGCGCGTCAATGAGCATGTTTTGCACGCGTTCACGGAATGCAAAGGTGTGACCGGGGACTAAATTAAAATTTCTGTCGAGTCAGCCAGTAATTAGGATCTAAAGTTGATTTTTTTTTATTTATTATTAGATAGAGTGGGGAAGGGTTAACACCTCTTTTAGGTTTTTTGTTGCTGTCTGAGGAGATATTGGGAGATTTGCCTTCTCTATGTCCTGCAGACAATTGCTATGGAGACTGAAAGTGAGACAAAATCCAAAACAGCTGTCACCAGAACAGAAATACAAGAGAAATCTTATGGACCCCGACTTCTAGTGTCAAAAGTCTTAAAGGGATTTCCCTCACTTCCACTAGGCAGAAAATAAAAGGAAAACTCCCCAATTGGAAGCAGATGGCAGAAAAAAAAATCTAACAGGGATTTAGCCATTCCCTATTCTATCCTAAACTAAATTCCCAACTTCTTACCTGTTGAGCGTGCCCTTATTTCCCTTTCTGCAGCATTCCTTAGGTCAGCAGCGGTATCATAGTCACCACATAATTTCATATCTCCTGCAAAGTGCTTTAGTTCTAGTGGAGTAGGGCACCTCCACACAATGACATGTGCACTATAAGTGCCCACCAACCAGCCCTGCTGAAAGTTACAGCAAATGGAGGCTGATCAGTCACATGACCAAATAAAGAGCAGAAAAAAAGTCTCCTCCAACCCAAAGTCTTATTCAATGTTGGTTGAGCCTGCACAGCGAGTTCCCATACCCTTGACCTAGGCCCATAAGCCAACACTAAAGACACTACGGGGTCTATTTATAATCAACTGGCAGGGTTCTTTGCCCTACAAATATCTGTCAATATTCGTTTTTGGCGAATAATGCCTAAAACTCATGTATATTTTTTCCCAGCTCAAATGTATTGCCATGTAATATTATATTATGGACACTAGATGAAGCTGAGGAGCATGGGAAATACTTATTTCCTATGCTCCTCACCTCCATCTTTTGGCCAAAATGTAGTACTACATGACAACAAATTTAAACTGTAAAAAAAATACATTAAAGGATATTCCGCCCCATGCTAGTGTAAGGACTTACCTTAAATGATGCCTCTTGATCCGATCATCTTCTTCTTTCCTGTAGTTTTCATCAGTCCTTCCAGCGCTGGTGCCGGTCTCTTACCCAGCACTGTCTGCTGTTTACTGTGTCCCACAGAGTCTGTTCGGGTGCACGCTGCCTGCATAGACTTACCCTGTGTCACTCCTCTTCTCCTGGCCCATGATCTGTACTGCATATGCGCCAGCCCCATGATCCTTTGCGGACGCCCAGGATTTTTCAGATTTCCGGACAGGAAATGTTTTTGCATATACCTACTGCTTGCTAGCAGTAGATATATGCAAACCGCCACCCCCCACCCAAGGGTTTAATTATCCTTTAGCAATGTTTGTAAAGTGACCAGTATCCAAGAGATTTCAGGGCAATGGATGTTAATATCATAGGAGGAGGACGATGACTCTGCTGTCATGGAGAAGTAAGCACCTGGGTGGGGTTAGATTAGGTTAGAGGACTAGGGAGTATGGGTGAACTGAAATCTGAACTCAGTCACATTGCTCGGCATTATCCCGGGGAAACACATACGATTTACATTCTTTTTTAGATTCCATTAGTGTTTTCTTCCAATGTTTCAGTTTTCTTTTCATGTTCCTTTACATTTTTTCTACAGAGATCATTACATTTACAACCTGTTCTCGTGCTCTTTTTGGCAAAATAGAATGTTATTTATGTTAACAAAAAAAAAAATCCCAAAAGGCAGATTGGAAATGTATGTGGACATGAATGGAGAGTCCGCAGAATATTAAAGTGGATGTCAATCCTAACTGAATTACATTATACAATTGCTGTAGTTCAGTATATAGTTAACAATTTATATTTTTATTCAAATAAAATACTGCTTTTCATCCCTTGTTACATCTCAGTAGTACTGATCACCTGCAGCCATTTTCTGTCTACCTGCACTCCAGAGATGGCTGTGGGGCATTTCCTGATGGTGACAACAGTGGACCATGCCTGTGTTAAAGGTGTTGATATGGCCACTTTGAAGCGGGAAGATGATCCTGCACTGTGCTGGGGCATCATCTCATGACATCTGAGATACTCAGCGTACCCTGTGATCTCGTTGGAAGGACTGAGATGTCACCCCCTGCAGCACAGAAACCAGGA